GGGCGCTGTGCTGCTGCCAGGCGCGAGCAGCAGCCGGGGGCAGGGCAGGAGCGGTTGTTCTCAGCCCGAGTCGGCCGGAGACGGAGTGCCGGCCTCCCCCGCACCAGCCCGCCCGCTTCTGGCCCTCACACCCACGGAAGGTCACACTCACACACGCAGAAACGACAGAGTGTTTCCCAAGCATCGCTGGTGCACACCCGTCAAGCAGTGGAGGGCATCCCGACACAAGAGTTAAGCCTCCCGCGTCACGCCGTTTGTTTAAACAACCTCTAGCACTAGCGCATGGCGAGGTCTCAAAAAAAGAAAAGCTCCGGGAGCGCATTCTGGTGGTCGGAATTGCCCACCAGCATTTCCACCATGGCCTTGATAACGAAGCACCGGTTTTCATTACAAGAGCACCCACACGTGCTCAGCTTACAGTCCGAGGTGAACAAGGGTACTGCGGGATCAGCAGAGCCGCTCCACCCAGCGTCTGTCATCGCCCATGGAAGTGTGGCACAGAAGTGCCATCAGCCCGTAGGCGACCAACATGTGCCGCTGGGGTGAGTAAACGGGCACAAAGACAGCAACATTCCATCGGTAGGAAGCTTCGCGCACACAACCCAACTTCCAGTTTGGCATTCACAGCAAAACGCCTGAAGAATTTATGGTGGGAAATCAAAACCCTTCTGCTTTTCATCCCCTTGGTGAGAAAAGCCTGCCCCTCTCCAGCACCAGCCATTCTCCATATGGCCTGCAGCCCGGGAAGCGCCAGCTGCTGGGAAAGCTTCCAGGGTGAGGAGGTCGCTGTAACGTGCCAGCACTGCAGAGACCCCACACCTTAAGGGAAGCGTTCCAGGTTCCAACACAAACAAGCAGAACACGTACCTGGCACGTGTGAACGCGGCGTGACAAGTCACCCAGCTAGATGCAATAGTTGGTATAAACCAGCATGCTAAGTTAGGCGAAAGTTTCATGCTAGCGCGAAACTCGACTGCGACGCGTGCTAAGTTAGGCTGAGGCTAGCGCGAAACTCGACTGCGACGCCGTTCTGCGTAGTACATGACGCACGGCTTTCTTCTCCCTTCTGCCTACAAGACACACGCCCGCTTAATACTTCGATTCTCCAACGTTTCAGCAAGCACTTGAAGGAGATGAATGATTTAAAAAAAAAAAAGGCAAGCCAAGTAGTAGAAAACGCATTTTATTTATATGGAAAAGGCTACATTTCGGTTCGTAAAAGGTCTGAGATAGTGTTACGTTGCCCACGTCAAAAATCATTTGTGAACAGCAACAAACCGGTTACATATCTTCCTACAGAGCAGTGCAATTAGTTCACATTGCAATAAAATTAAGTCAAGTATGCAACAGAATTAAACCCAAGTGTTTCTCCCTAGCCAGCGTACAAGAGTTACAGTGCAAAGATCCTCCTAGGTTTTAAGGAATCTGCAGTCCGTCTTCAGAGTATCCCAACGGGTGGGACGCTCCCGTTCTTTTCATTACTAGCAGTTGTATCTTGTCAATACTGTGCACAAGCAAGTCTAAAATGAAACGACTTACGTGGTAAATAAAACATTTAGTCTATACAGTTAAAAAAATTACAAATAACAGGTGAACTAACGAAATGAAATTTGAACACGTTTCTGGAACGGACAACAGACTTTAAGGACACACATACAGTACTCGTCACGTAAAACCTGCTACTTTTTCCAGCAAAAATAAACTGGGTTGCTTTACAACTGCGTTACGGATCTCGCAGTCTGAAGATGCAGATGTCCAACTCTTAAAAACCACGAAAAATGTCTTCTGCAAAGCATACAAAGAGGATAAATATTCCTATCACAGTCACCAGGTTATTTTTGGAAGGTTGCTCTCCCTCGCTCCAGAAACACATGGGTGAGAACAACTCAAGGGACATCATGACGTATTGAAACAGTCACCTGCGCTCCGTTTCCTCCAGATGTTGGGAAACTCCCTAGAATTTACAGTACTCTGTGGTGTATGAAAAAGTCTTCCCAAGTCTACATTGCATATTTCTGAGTCCATTCTCTCGCGTGTCTGTTGTATCTGTACGTGCAGAAAGAAGGCGGTACAGTGAAGAGCTGTTAGTCACGCACCGACAACGGACACCTATTTACTCGCTACGGACGCCACCGCGCTTTCCACCTCTTGGCGCCGACTCAGCCAACATTCCAACGGCCTCCAAGCCGTGCAGCGCGCGTACCCGCCCCACGGGCAGTCGCCGAGGCTGCCTAGCAAAGCTCTCTAGACCCGCACGCGAAACCCCTCTCGCAGTTTGTATCGAACTGCACGCCGCTGCATGGACTTCGCCCGCGCTTCCCAACTGGTTCCCTTCTTTGGGCCTTCACGGGAATTCCTTGGCACTTACTCCTAATTGGGGTGCTATTAGCAGCCTGGCAGAGTTCACACGTGTTAGCTGCGTGAAATTCGGCGTGATCAACTGGTTTGGAAAGGGTGGGGATGGAAGGCACAGTGATACTTTTATTCTGCATAAAGACACCCTGAAAGAAAAACTTCCTGAAAAGTATTTTTTTTACTAGATTGTATCTTAGGTCTTTTCCTCCCAATATGAAGCTGGCAGCACTCCCAAAAATAAGTGTCCTTAGGGAGTGGATGGATTTTCCTTGGGTCCTCACGTTTGTTACACTCTAGCCTTCAGACCAGATTCACTGTCTCGGGGTCCTCCAGAGAACACCGTGCCAAGTTTTTACATCCATTTCTTTAGATCAGCATGGCAACTCATGTGCCAACTGGTTTTGTTCTTAAAAACGCGCTACCATGCGGGCCCTTCTCTTTCTACTTGGAGTAGAACACCCGGAGGTAAACCCTCGGGGGTACCCAGCCACATCTTTCGCTTCCTAAAGCCAAGATTAAAAATACTTAGCAGGCGATGGGTGTGAGAAGAGACCGCTACAGGCCAGACTACGCGTTCTCCCGCAGTGAGGGCTTTCAGGTTTTGGAGATAAATATCCCTTGTTCACTTCCTTCGCAAACACTTCGCTCGCTCCCTGGCTGCGCAAGCCACATTGCTCAAGCACTTTGGAAGTGGGTTATGGGATCTGATTGCGTCAAGACATCAAACTGTCAGAAAAAGGCCATTTCAGTCACTCTAGGTGGAGAAACACTAGACCACAGACTGCCAGGTAACTCCTACATCGCTGCTCAAGGTGCATTGCAACACTCAAACCTTCACGGACCCGTGCTACGTGATGAACCACGGGCCATTAGCATGAAGTCTTCGACGGCTCGGTGCTACCAAACAGGTACACTGAGCAATTTCTCACTCGGTTAGCCAGCAGGTCAGAAATTCTCCTGCATATCAAACATTCCCCACAGTCTGAGGCAGAGTCTAACAGTTAAAACAGTTAAGCTGCCTTCTGGTAACCGCGCTGTTAAGCACCAAGGATAAAAGGCCTGCCCCAAACTGCATCCGTAACCTTTTCCGCGGCCTGAGGGAGGAGTCAGATAAACAGCGGTGGTTGGGCTGTCCATGAGCGTGCTGCACGGCCACGACTGTTTAATTAACCATCAAGGCCACCAGACAATTTGTGAAGATTCGCTTTGGGGAAGGTTATTCCATCCTTGGCAGAGCAGGACTGGATGTACTTGGAAACCCCTAGAGACTCCTACTCCTTGTTACTACCTGGAACTGGTCCTGTGTTTCAGTCTGACTTAACCCCAAACCCACAGGTGCTAACTGCCTGCTACAGGGACAGCTCAGGCCACGCAGACTACAGGAGCAGCAGAGCTCCACAGAATTGCATAGTATTTCCTCCCCGGATCAGCGATTCCCTACGCTTCTCCATGCGTACAGGTTTTCAGTTTCGGAAGCCCAGGAGGGGCAGGTAGCTGACACACCAGCGGAAAGCAGCAAAGGTGGAAATCTCACACAGTACTTCCTCTGTGGAACAAAGGGCCCAAGCTTCCCGCCGCCCACGAGTACCCAACAGCTGCGTATGCCAGCAGCTTCCTGCTCGCCATTCCCAAGGTTTAAAGATGTAATCCTGTAGCAACCTATGAATTTCACCGTCTCTAACAGCAAGAAGGTGCCTAGCCGTTCGCCACCTGCGAGTACCACACCCACAAACACGTATATGTCATACTCACTTTTCCTTGTCTGACTTGTAGATCTGTGCAATATCCGGTACTAGAGGATCATCTGGATTAGGATCACAAAGTAAGGAGCATATGGACAATAAAACTAAACAAAAGAGACACTAGATTAAACAAGTTAGTTAGCTTCGTTTCTATCATCCTGTAATAAATTCCAGTACACTGAAGGAGGGTGGTGGGAGATTGGAGAGAGCATGCATATCAGTATTAAGCATTCCCATAGCTGTTCTCCTGGGAAACGTTCCTACGGCATCGTTTTCCTAGGTCCCAAGCCAGCAGTACCTGACACCAGCCTAGAGAGCTGCAACCCGTGTTCCAACCTATGAACAGGAAACAGACCACATTCTTACCTATGAACGTTTGACCAAACTAAGCTCTTCCACCTACCCTTACTGACGACGGCGTTGTCAGTGTTACACTGCCACGCAGCGCTCTGCTTGTGCGGATCCTTCTCCGCTTCCGTGCTGGCAGTTACTCTCTGCTTCATGTCCATGTTTCACTTCATTTGACAGAAGCAAGACTTCCACTTTGGGAACACGCTTCAGTATTACATACAGGTAATGTATGTAGAATGTATTAGAATTCCATATTCATTCCTGGTACTGGAGCAAGGATACTAGGGGTTTTCTTAATATTTTCAGTCCATGCTTTTCAAGCAATTCCTATTTCTATACTCAGAACTACTACACATGCGAGAGCACAGTTAAACAGTTCTAAACACGCAGGAGAAGGGAATTCGATGCTACAGTGAGAATCTGCTGTGGAATGAGATTCTTCCCAGCTTTGTCTGGCTGCAGAAGAGCCCAGACTAACACCTATTTTCGGCTGTAGCAAGCTCGACCACTTCGCACTGACTTATGCTCTTAGGTGCCAAACACAGCAGTAACGTCGGAGGGTCAGGTTGGAATACCCGGGCACACCGATCGGGGGGCTGTAGGACGCTGCAATCCTTGGCTTCGCTAACGAGAACTGTAAAGGAGAAACTCAGGAGCCACCGAGCTAACCCCTGCTTGATGACACACAGCGTTCCAGTGCGTGAAACACGCGTCCAGCCAGCACGCCCAAGAGCGGCAGGCTGCGGGAACGCTCGGCAAGTAAAGACACAGAAAAGGGCTGAACGTCTAAAAACTTCAGAGTTTTCAGTTGGAAATGCCAGCTGTTCAGCGTGACGTAAGTGCCAGCTCCCATGTGCTAAACACCTCCTAGATAACTAGAAACAAGACAATTTTTTCTCAGCAATCAGCCAATCATCAGCCAGCTCTTAAACCTGGGTGTCGTTCAGCGTGGGAGATGCCTGCACAGGGTGGTGACGCACGAGCACAAGTGGCTTTTCCAAGGAAAACGGGAATGCCCCAGGCATGGAGCAGGTTCTGTGGGACAAAGACTTCCTTTTTTTCCCTTGCCTGTACAGCAAAGCCAACGACACCGCCCCAGAAAGGCAGGTGGTCAGGGAGCTCTCGGGCACATAAGCACGCTGCGATAGCGTTTAACCTTTTGAGTCACGCGAGAACCTTCTGTAACACGACGAAGGGTGTTCCTAAGCAATTGGAAGATGGGTGAGAAAAATCCTAGCACCCACATTTTAAGCAGCTTTTGAAATGATGCACAATGCCCTCAACGTTCTGAAAATCTACGCTGTTCAACCCGAGACAGTTGAACTACAGGCTGGAATATTTTCATAAGTGTTTTCCTACTGACCTTGAAAGCAGCTATGTTTTAAGATATTCATTTTACAGAGGAAAGCAAACCAGAAGAATTCCCCTCACTTTAAAACAAGGTATAATTCAGGCCTTAGCCCACAGAAGGATGCTCAGGCAGCCCAAAGCACCACCAATAAGCAATCAGGTAAGAGACATCAGTATCGGGGGGGATCCATCTACATCCAAATTTAGATTTTTGAAGGTCTCTTCACCAGCTTCTCCCCAGTTCTGCATGCAGTTCGCTGTAACGCAGACGCTGCACTCCAGGCTAACTGGACAGCTACCATCTCAACTTGTTTTAGAACACTGCTTCCCCATGCACGTAGTATTTTACGTCGTGTGACACTCCCAATAAACTGGGCAAGATGTGGGATCATATGCATTACCAGATCCGAGAGTTTACCTTTCGACACAGTCAGAGCTGGTGACCACTGCGATCTCAGGATGTCAAGACAAATGTTCCCGTTGCTGTTTATGTTCGGGTGGTATATTTTTGTTGTAAAAGCAATCTGAAATTAAAAAAAAAACCAAAAACCAAGTAACATCAAATTTTGATTATTACATCTGGAACCCTTAACACGGGCCCTTCAGTTCCAGTCACGCCAGATCTGCCAACACAACCTACGGTACAGCCCCATCTGTGCATCCACCATGAACATGTACCCTCTTGCTGGCCTTTCTGGGTTTAACTTCCAAAATTAAGCCCCAAGACACACACAAACGAAGCTTTGACCCAAAAAGTCTCATGCATTTTGAAAGGACTTACCTTTGGTGGCTTGAAAGGATAGTCTGTTGGAAAGTGTACTGTGAGAAAAAACACTCCCCCTTGATATGCACTATCAGGCTGGGGAAAAAAACAAAACAAAGCACATTAACCCATTTCAGTTATTTTGGAGCTTCCCTTCTGAAGGCAGATAACCTCCCAAAGCTACGAGTATCTTAGAAAATCCATGTTTTCCCCAGTACACAGCCCATGCTACAGGCCGCAGCCCACTACGGGCTGTGTACTGGGAAGGCACAGAGGGAACGAACCCTCCCGCTGGCCTGCAGAGCTACGGTAGAGCCAGCCATGGCTACTACTGCACTGGCCAACACGGCTACGGAGCGCTGCCTTTCCTGGGGAGAGAAAGGGAGGGAGCAGTGTTCAACCGGTGAGGCTACAAAACTGCTGATCCACCAGCTCCACTGCACCAAGGGGAATAGGAAACCCAGAGCAGATCCTCCAGACCGTGCCTCCGTGCACCACCACAGCTGCTCTGATCCTCCTCCATCCTTAAGCTACAAACATACTTACCTTAAGCAGTGGTTTCTCTTTGCAGACGCAAAGAGTAGGATTTTCCAACATAGTTCATCATGATGGCATCAGGGAGTTTTAAAACACACAACATCTTTGTGACCTGTACAAACCTGTGAACATGCATTTTGTTAGAGAACATGTGCACAGGTTTACGGCCAGGTTGCACACAGTTAATAGATAGAAATAACTTTGTGGCAGTCACCTGTTGAGGAAATCTTTCCGTTTTATTAACTAGGAAAGCGTCGGGGGGAGGTGTCAATGCTGAGTGATAGAGAGCAGCACTGCCGTTTCTGAGTAAGGGAAGGAGAAGAAAAGCCTCTCTCATTACTTGTAAGTTCAAAACAGCAATATAGGAACTCCATCTCAGCCAAGCTGCAGAAGATCAAGCTTTTGGCTTTTCTTATGGAAGCCAAGGCAGACTTGTTTAAAATAAGGTGTTTACCTTGGGAATGAGCAAAATTTACAGCTTGAGAGAGAAATATTTAAGAGGTAAAGTCACCAATGGTCCACGAAGCCATGTCGTCCGACACACTCAAAATGCAGACAGCACTGCTAACAAGTCGGCGTTAGGCAACATCAGAAGAGACTGCCGCTGCACGCGCAATCCAGTTTGGAAGGACCGCTTGGATGCTCACCAAAAGGATTTGTCACAGTTAAAACAAGCTGAAGATGAGGCAAGTTCGGTGTCAGACACAAGGCAAGGTGAGGTCACCCTAGGTTTTACCAGTAGGTATACAAAACAAATTGATGATGCCCACGGACAGGAGAAGAGGTTACCCTACTTCCACACACAGGAAGTGAATTCTGAGGGTAAAGCTTCAGTCCTACGCTTCTCTCAGGCCATCAGGAAACAAGAAGGATGCGCATCCCTAATTCCTTATGTTATCAAGATAAAGGATTAATATGCCAACGGTGTTCTTTTCTTGAATCTCACAGGCATGGCTGAGAAAGGTTGGCAAGAGATACTCATTCTTAACTAGAGAAATCTGAGGAACCTGAAGCAAAGGAAAGACTATTTTCCACTACAGAACACGAAAGGTGAATTGCAAGCTGGAAGAAAAAACTGGAATTTAAGTTGTTATTTATGTGCTAGTATTTCCCTTACTCAGGTCATCAGAGTCATTCAGGACAGAGGCATTACTGGTGGCCATCAGCACGTAAGCTTTTGTTAACTCTTCGCTAGTTTGCCATTCACCTTTAGGCAGGGCAGAAAGACAGGGGTCAGAATGGCTCCGGACGTGAAAGAACACAGTTGTCAAACGGCAAAAGCATTAGTATCCTACAGAAAAACGTCCCACAATCGTTTCAGTTGCTGCTGGGCCACTGACAAGCTGGACAACAGACTCCAGCATACTGCTGGCAAATTAGTAACTGGGCTGTCACTGCTTCCGAGCAGCTGTGCCCAAAATGCAGAAATAGCCTCCAAGCAGCCACCATTCCGCTCTTCTCCACCCTGTGAGGCTGCATCTTAGTGCATTACGTGTTGTCTCAAACTTACACCTCACACAGTGGTTCAGCTCATCATCTGAGCCAGAAACTCTTCTTTCCAAACGAGTAAGTCCAAAATGAAATCACTAGGAATACAAACTCCTTACCATTAAATCAATAAACACCCCTTCCCTCAGGTCAAGTTGTTCTTCATTCTTTATCCCAAAACCCTTTTCAGTTTTCCTTTCAAACTTTCTGTTCTCAAGCTTTATCGTTCCCTCATGGAATTTCCTTGAGAAGAGTGGTAAATGGTGTCTTTAAAGATCTTCCTCCATCCAGGGAAAGCAGGCCTTTCCCCCGCAGAAACCAAAGTACCCGCAACTGCTGGTGTATGTCTGTTCTCGCCAGAGCCGCATCACAGCCTTCAAATCAGCTCCACCTAAAAGCCCAACATCACCCAATGCAACACCACTTTGGTTTAGTTACCAACTTAAGCGCTGGGTTACACCCGCT